AGGCAAGACCTTCTGTGAGCAGGGGGACCTCAGCATGTCCCACATATCAAAGCTCAAATGAGGTGCATCCTCCTTTTCTATGAAGCCTTCCCTAGTCCCCAAGCAGAAATTAATGCTTCTCACCTCAAATCACACATAACTTTTTATTTAGATCTCTCCTTTGCACTTAGCATGTCCAATTTAGATTATATTTACCTTTGGACTTATTTCCTTTGCAAGACTATGGACTTGTGGGAACAGTTTTCAACCTAAACTATGTATCTCCTCCATTACCAAGCACAGGGCCTACAGAAGTGCTTAGTAACCATTTGAGTGGTAACTGCAACTTTCTGGATCTATAAATATATTTATACTTGGTCCTATGTTACCCTCATGCGTGCATCCTAACCCCACAATTCTATTGTGTAAATTACTCAAAGAACTGCCTTCTCTTTCATCTTTCTTCCAAGGCATCTAATCTAGATCCTTTGGGTGCTGTTGTTAAATTTACATTTGACACAAATTGGTCTGATCAGCCACAATTGGATACGCTGTACCTTGACCCTGACAGAGTGATGCCATTTTGGTCCTCTTTGAGCACAAGGACAACCACCAATCAACCATTTGACACACGACCCACGGATGATGAAAAGACACTTGATAGGTTTAAATTGGTGACCTGTATGGCTGTAGTGAAAAAGGTATTATGAAAGGGAATGGGGCTGGTTATGGGGCAAAAGGGAGGAAGAACAAATGGACAGAGCGAATGCTACATTGGTACCTAGGGAATGTTAAAAGGAGAAAGACTTTAGATTGCTAGGTGCACCTAAATATGGAAAATTTATGAAGTAGCCAGTTTGACACAATGGATAGAGCACTGGACCTGGAATCAGAAAGACCTGGATTGGAATCCAGTCCTGGATACTGACTAACTGTGCTATCTCAGGCAAGTCACTTCACCTCTGCTTGCTTTGGTTTCCTCATCTGTAAAATGGGGCTAATAATAGCACCTCCCTCCCAGGGTTATTGTGAGCCTCAAATGAGAATATTTATAGAGTACTTTGCAAACTTTAAAGCACTACATGAATGTGACCTATTATGATTTATGGAAAAGCACGCACAGGCATGATACAGGATGAGAAAGCATTATATCTGCAGTGGTTGAGCAAAGTCCTACTCTGATTGATGAGATCATAGATCTATCAAAGTATCAAAACATAAATTCACATATTACTAGATTTTAAGGATTGCTGTTTCTGCAAATTTAAAAACCAAAGATCTATGAGGAATCTATCAAGTACTCTGAGAGCACGGAAAAGAAAAAGATGAGTCTTTGAGAAATATTCACAGTATATACCTGTGGGGATAGAACATATGCATGGTTCATGTGGACATTTAAAAAGATGACAGAAACAAAAATAAATGAATTAAGCAGAACCTTTCCATCAATCATTCAACAAACTAACTTTCTACTAGATATTGGGCTCTATGCTCAGGGATGAGGGAGATAAAGGCATGGTCCCTATCTTCATATTAGGCATGGTCCCTATCTTCAAGAAGTTTACATTAAGCATTTTGTGAGGACAGAAATACTTATCTTGAACATTTTCCCCCATGATTCTACCTGGCTGTTAATCACGGAACATAAATGATTTCAGAACAACAAACATGACAAATAACCCAATGGAAAGGCTTGTGGTGGGTGTAAGCAGGTGGTGGCACATTGCCAATAATAACCTGTGCATGAGAAGAGGCATAAAAGACATTAAGGGAAGTCATAGATGATGAGAAAAGGGAACAGACCAGTTATTTGGTGAGAATGAGAGTGGTAGCAGTGATACCTACCCCTGAGATATTCAAAAAACAAAGAGTGCATCAGTACATTGATTAAAATAACCCTTATTTCTATAGCAAAGTTCCTCCAAAACCCGTATCAACCTTGTGAGGTAGGGGACACAAGTAAATCATCCATTTTAGAGATAACTAAACTGAGGCTCAGGAGAGGTGAAATTATTTGTCCCAAAGTTACATTACTAGTTTCATAATGAGAACTTGTTCCTAGGTCTTTTGACTCCACTTCTAGTGTTCATTATACTAGCATACCACTCAAATTCACGGGGAAACATGAGTAAGATTCACCTAAGGTGAGAAGGCATGAGGTATGGGGGAGAGGTTGGGTTGTAATTTGGATTGGTAGAGGGAGCAACAGCATGGATTGGATCCATCACAGCAACAAAACATTCAACTTTGAATATTTTCACACCTATGAAGTGGGGTTTCAGGGATAGGGAACCTGTGGCCTCGAGGCCACATGTGGCCCTCTAGGTCCTCAAGGGAGGCCCTTTGACTGAATCCAGACTTCACAGAACAAATCCCCTTCATAAAAGGATTTGTTCTGTAAAACTTGAACTCTGTCAAAAGGCCAAACCCAAGGACCTAAAAGGCCACATTTGGTCTCGAGTCCTCAGGTTCCCCACCCCTGATAGTCAATGGGGGCAAATCACAGTCTCCTGCACGTGGATTGGATTTTTGGAAATGGACAGAGGTCATTGGGAGCAGAGTCTGGGAAACAAGGTTGAAGATCACACTGGAGAATTCCATGTGTGGTGTGTGTGTGTGTGTGTGTGTGTGTGTATAAAAATGACTGTAAAACAATTAAAACTGACCATTGTGTGCCATATTTTAGTTCCAAAGTCCCCAAGAAAAGTCCAAGAAAGTTAACCTGGAACCTCACAATGGGACTGTGTTAGAAAGACAAGTATTTGGATGTACACATTTTGATATACAATACTTCCATGCACCAGTTGTCTTACTGTCTCTGTATTCTTACCACTGTGTGGATCACAATCAGACCATGCCTTCTTATCCAGTGAAATTCTTATCCGAACCCTATGTTGTAGAGCCCTTACACATGCTGGCTGAGCGACCCTGGGGACGTGACTTCACCTCTAAGCGCCCTAGGCAGCTGTCAGAGGCACCAGCAACCTCCCTGGGTCTCCTAGTGTATGCCTTGACTCATTTTCATTTACCCAGGACATACAATCCATTGCTGAATGTTCTCACTTTCTACCCTCACACCTCTTGAACAAGTCCTCTTCTCTCTACTCACAAAGCCATGCCCTTGGTCCAGGCCCTGGTGACCTATAACCTGGTTTCTTGCAGTTCTTGCTGTCTGACTGGCCTACTGGTGTCAAGTCTCTCCTCCCTCCAAACCACCCTCTTCTACTTGGCTCCCAAGGTGATTTTTCTAAAGCTAAGAACTATGTCATCCTCTTGATCAGTGAGATTCAGTGGCTCCCTAAGACCTTCAGGATCCACTATACCTGATCTGTTTGGAATTTGAAGTTCTTCATAACCTGGGCCCTTCCAACCTTCCACTATTCTTACATTTGACTCTCCTCCATAGACGGTATAATCCAGGAATGAATGCCTATTTGATGTTTCTCTTTCTTTTTTTTTTCTTTTTTAGGCAATTGGGGTTAAGTGACTTACCCAGGGTCACACAGCTAGTGTCATACGTTTGACCTGAGGTTGGATTTGAACTCAGGTCCTCCTGATGTCAGAGCCGGTACTCTACTCATTGCACCACCTAGCTGCTCCTCATTTGAAGTTTTTCAAAGGAGACACTTAACCTTCTTATACTTGAATTCCCTTCATATACAATATAATCCTGGAAAGCAGGCCTGATATTCTTCAAACCAGACACACCATCTTCTGTTTCCATATCTTTGCGTTGGGTGTCCTGCATGCCTGGAATGTTCTGTCTCCTCCTCTTCCTATCTCCTTAGTTTTGCTGGCTTCCTTCATGACTTAGTTCAAACATACACCTTCTTCAGGAAGTCTTTCCCAGTTCACCCCGGATGCTAATGCCTGCTCATCTGAGATTACTTTCCATCTACTCTGTATGTACCTTCTATGTACCTGTGATTCATGTCTCCCCTATTAGATGTGAGCTTCTTGAAGGCAGGGGCTGTTTCTTTTTTTCTTTTTGTATAGGGCCTAACATATACTAAGTGAATGCTTGTTGACTGACCTTTGCAGGCAGGGTGGCAATCAACAGATGAGGAATTTCCTCGTCTGAGAGTTTCTTAAACCAATGAAATCAAAGCTCCAGTCTCTAAGCCATCTCATCCTTTCGTAAATCTTCCCTAAAGGATCAAGGAACTAGAGGCCATTCTCTGGGTCTCAAGACTTCTTATCCCCATTCTTCCCATACTGCCTTTCCCAGGCATACATGTCCTTGCTACCTTTTATGATCTTTTGTTGTTTCTTAAGTCAGTGTTGGTGATATGCTGCAGTCTACCTGCCCCCTTCCCCAATGCTGATTTGGTTTTAAACTCAGCCTCTTTACTTTATAGCCACAGTGTATTTATCTCATTTAATCTTACAAACCTATAAAGGGCAATATTAGTTGACCCATTTTATAGATGAAGAAACTGAGACCCATAATTTAATTATCGTCCAATATCCAACACAGCTGGTGCCAGTTAATATTCGCCCATTGATGAATTGGAGCACATTGGATTTGGAGACCAAAGATCTGGGTTTGAGTCTCTGCTAACCATGTGACCTTGAGCAAGTAATTTCATCTTTCTGGGTTTCATTGTGACTATTTGTAAAATGAAGATAAGCCTTGCCTTGTCTCCTTTGCCAGGGGTATTGTGAGGAAAGAACTTTGTATACTGTACAAGCCCTGCAGAAATGTAAGCTACACAATGGCTCACTAAACTACCCAAGCTTTAAGAAAGGAGCAGCTAAGTTTGTTCTTGTGACAAGCATGTTTGGACAGCGGGAGGCTACTAGGTCAGTTTTCCAGCTTGTTAACTTGCCTGGCTGGTTAGGGACAGGAAGACAGGAGTGAGAGATAGTCATTTAGATAATTTCCTCAAGACTTAAAAATGTATGGCTGTATTTTATTGAAAAAAAAATTACAAAATTCCTTTCCAGGAGATTTAAGGGAATTTGAGCAGCACAAACTCATCTTCCTGCATGTCTTCCCTTCTCAGACGGGCATTCTGAGGCAAGGCCCCTGATCACCTCTACAACACATCACTTCCACCCTACAAGGGGAATTAAGCTCCTCCTCTCAGAAGAAGAATGTCAATGTTAAAACCAAAGTGACGAGTGGCAAGCCTGGGATTCCTCTGAGAGGTCTCCTAGCTCCCAGCCTGAACTATCTCCACCAAGGACAAGCAGAGGGGGACAGGCTATCTCTCAGTGTCGAAATCTGAGAATTTTACTAGTCATCTAGCTAAAGCTTCCACCCTTGGGCAGCGGGCAGGATGACTGTACAATGCCTTAGTAATAAGAATATGTTGAGAGGGAATGACTTCCTCCAGATATAGACAGAGCTTTGGAAGAAAATCTCCCAGGTCCTGCAAAAAGGATGGAAACTAGAGTAAGGGAGGATGTCAAGAGTCACTTAAGAGTGAGAGGTCAGATGTGGAAGTTCCATCCAGCGACTGGACCACTTGCATCTTGGTTGTCCATACCCCATCGCCAGAGCCTCATCAGATCCCACTGTGCAAAGGAAGGAAGGCAGGAAGTAAGCACAAAGTTTTGGTCAGCACTCTGGAGCCCAGAGAAAGTAAAAATCATTCTAAGCAAACTCTTTATACTGAGAGGCTGTGCTAGGGGTCAGCTTATCCAAAATGGTCCTTCTGTGATATCAGTGCACATGGGCCTCACAAAGAGGAGAACCACAAAAGGAGGGGTGACCATGATGTGCAGAAAGGCAGGGGCCAGCATGGGCAGGTGGCAAGCAACCAAAAGGTCATCTTTGGCAAGCATGGTATAGGCTGCCAACCCTAAGCCAACAAACCTGCCTCAGTTTCTCATCTGTCTGCACCATTAAGGCCACTTTAGGTTTCCATATGAATGCCTTCCCCTGTTATAAAAATAGTTATGTGGGAAGGAAAATCTAGGCTGGTCATGTATTAAAAGTAGAAAAGCTGTAATCCAGATCTGCTGCTCAGAGGATTATAGAGTTAGAGTGGGAAGGGACCTTGGAAGTCACCTATGCTAACACTCTTATTTTACAGATGGGATAAGGGAGGTCCACAGAGTTGAGGTGACTCACTCAAGGTCACACATCTTGTAAGTAGAAAAGCCAGTGCTTCCAAATCCGGTGCCCTCTTCACCACATTATGTTGCCAGTGGAAGCTTAGAGAACCAGGAGGGCCATGTACTTCAGTGATGGAGTGCCAATTAAACACGGGCCCCTTGAAGAAACAGCAGGATGAAGACAGAGGAGCATGGGGAAATAAGGAAGAAACAGGGTATTCCATTGCCTAATACTAAGGATTAGCTCTGGAATTACCCAGAAATGGACCAGCTCTTTTCTTAGAGGAAGCCCTTGCAATTTGAGGTATTCTACTTTCTGGTCTCTAGCAGGTAAGATGAGAAGGCAGCCTGTATCCTGGAATTCAGGTGGGTTAAGACCAGACACTGGACACAGTCACACCCCCCCCCACCCCAGCATTTGGAATGAAGCAGGCTGGTAACTTGACCTCACTGTCTGGTCAGATGACCACACCACCACTGGATCTATGGCCTTGATTGCTGGGGGAGAGGATGGAAGATCAGAACTCATCTCGGAGCTGTGGGGGACGGTCCATGCCAAAGAAGGAGGAGGACTGGCCCCGTAAGTCCCGTTCCCGTTTCACAAAGGCAGTAAAGGATGAGACACAGTTGCCAATGAAGTGGTCTGCCTGGCCAAGGATATATAGGTCAATCTGTGCCACTTCAGGCTGAAGGGTCACCACCTTCACCTACAGGGGGAAAAGAGGCAGAGCAGGTTAATCTGAGGGACTTGGGCCAATTCATTTCAACAGTTTAACTAACACTAACAAAGTACCTACTACACAGGGGTATAGCAGTGTCTAGTGATGACAGAGATGCAAAGTTTAGCTAAGATATTGCCTCTGATCTCATGGAGCTTAAAATATAATAGGGAGATAAGACACAAACACGAAAAACTGCCATGTATAACACATGATAAATGCAATGTTCTCCTGGCTTTGAATAACAGAATACCACAATTTTCAAAGAATCACAACTGCAGGGACCTTAAAGAGTAACTGTAAGCCACATGGTAGGCATAAACAAGCACTATGCAACCAATAATGACTTGTACCTGGGAAACTCTGTGAAAGATCAGTCAATTAATAAATGACTACTTCATTAAAATACTACTATATGTAACCTAGATGCTATCCTCCACTCCTCATCATCTCTCAACTCCCTCACTCCTGCCCCCACATTCCCTATCCCCATTCAAGCTGTTGCCAAGTTCTGCTGATTTCACCTTTTCAAACTCTGGAATACGTCCCCTTCTCTCCTTTGACACTGCCACAACTCTGGTATAGCAGGCCCTCATTGCCTCATATCTGGACTACTATGATGGTTTGCCTGCCTCAAGTCTCCTCCCACTCATCTACTCTCCATTCAGCTACTAAAGTGATTTCCTAAAATGCAGGTCTGATCACGTCACCCACCCCTACTCAGTAAACTCTAGTGGCTTTCTATTGCCTCCAGGATCAAATGCAAACTTTGACTTAAAGGGCATTCAGAGCCCACTATAACCTAGCCCCTCCTACCTTCCCAGTCTTTTTACAGCTTACAATCCAGGGCCACTGGCCTCCCGGCTGTTCCATGAACAAGACACTTCACTCTCAACCCCCAGCAGAAAATTCTCTCTGGCTGTCCCTTTTGCCTGAAATGTTCTTTTCTCATCTGCTCTGACTACTGACCTCTCTGGCTTCCTTTAATATCTAATGAAAATCCTACCTTTCTACAGGAAGTCTTCCCTAATACCTCTTCATTCTACCATTTTCCTCTTTTAATTATTTCCTATTTATCCAGTATATAGTTTGTTTTGTATATATTTGTTTGCATGTTATCTCCCTCATTTAGATTGTGAGGTCTTTGAGGGCAGGGACTATCTTTGGCCTCTTTTTGTATCCCTAGCTCTTAGCACAGAGCCTGGTACATAGAATAAATGCTCATTGACTGATTAATGGCTGGAGTCCTAGGCTAAGCACAGGGGATACCAAAGGAGGCAAAAGATAGTCCTTGCCCTCAAGGAACTCACAATCTAATGGGAGAGATAACATGCAAACAAATATGTGCAAAACAAACTACATACAGGGTAAACAGGAAATAATTAAAAGAGGGAAAACACTAGAATGAAGAGGTGTTAGGGAAAGGCTTCCTGTAAAAAATGAGGCTTAAGCTGAGAATTAAAGGAAGCCAGGGAGGTCAGTAGTCAGAGCAGAGAAGAGTCTTCCCAACATAAGCGTAATGGACAGCCAAAGAAAATACCAGGAGTTGAGAGGGAAGTGTCTTGTTCATGGAACTGCCAGAAGGCCAGTGTCATTGGACTGAGAAGTACTTGCTGGGGAGTGAGGTGTAAGAAGACTGGGAAGGTAGGAGGGGGCTACGTTACAGAGGGCTTTGAATCAAAGTTTGTATTTGATTCTGGAAGCCCCAGGAAGTCACTAGGGTATATCGAATAGGGGGATAACACGGTCAGACCAATGCTTTAGGAAAATCACTTCAGTAGCTGAATGGAGGATGGACTGGGGAAGAGGAGAGACTTGAGGCAGGCAGAGCCACTTCAGGCTACTGCAATAATCTGTGTGAAGTGATGAGCATCTGCACCAGGCAGTAACAGTGTCCGAGGAAAGAAAGGAGCATGTTTGATAGATGTTGCAAAGGTGAAACTAACTAAAGGTGAAAGTAACAACTTGGATGTAGAGGGGGAGAGATCATGAGGAATCCAGGATGACTCCTAGGTTTTGAGCCTCAGGGATTGAGGTGATGTTTGATCAGAAAAAGAATCAGGCTAGTCATTTAATGAAAGTGGGAGAAAAGGGGGAAAGTGCTTCACTGGTACCTGCAAGACATCTCAAGAACCAGAAAAAGATATCCCAACAAATTCAGTAGATCTTCTATGGAGGTGAATAATTCCTTAAACTGTTGAAATAAGAGCATTAAAAAGGCACAAGCTAAATACTATGTAAAGTCTAAAAGGGAAGAATGCAATTTTTTCGGGGGGGGGGAATCAGAGAAGGCCTTATGGAGAAGGTAGCACTTGGGGTGGGCTTGAAAGGATTGGGTAGGTTTCCAACAGGTCAAGAGGGATCAGGAGGACATTCCAGGCACAAAGGAACATAGAGAGAAAACTGAAGAGGGCAAGGTGTAGGTAGGGTAGAAAAAAGAGCAGTTAGGCAAGGCACAGATTACAAAAGGGAGTAGTAACGTGAGATAAAGGTGGAAAGGTAAGGGTTGGCATGAAAACACATACCAGTTTGGTGTAGAAATACATTAGACTCAACAGGGAAACAAGTGAGAAGTGGGGGAGGGCACAGAGGAGTTAAGAAAGAAGATAATACTGAGGAGGGAATAGTCACAAGCAAAACAAACTTCCTAATCCTGAAGGAAGGATTAAAAGTGGGGGAAGGGAAAGAAAAGAACTAGAATATGAGGTGCCTTAGCTCGCTTCTTAGACAAGCGGGAAATGGCTGGAAAACTTGAATAGGAATGCAATAGACTATCACTTCATTGTAAGAAGTGACGAAAGTGACTATTTCAAAGAATCCTGAATTGTGAGAGCAGAACCAGGAGAACAATTCAAATATGGGCAACAACAGTCTAAAGAAAGTCAGCTTTGAAAAACTCAAGAACTCTCATTAAAGCACTGACTTGGAGGACCTTTACTGAAGCATGTTACCTACCTCCTGAGAGAGGTGAGTAATACAAGGTGCAGAGACACACATTTTTGGATATAACCATGGCTTATTTGTTCCAAGGGGTTTTCCCCCTCTTTTTTACTTTTCGCAGTTAATGGGAAAGAGGAAGAGGAGATTAGCAATAATGATGTTGAGAGAGAGAGAGAGAGAGAGAGAGAGAGAGAGAGAGAGAGAGAGAGAGAGAGAGAGAGAGCCATTTAAAAAAATGCCCAGAAGAGAACAGAAGGAAGTTCAGACAAGCAGGACAATTTTGAAAGTAACTTGTAGAATTTATTATGTACTCTTCAAAAAGGCCAGGGGTGTGAAACAGAGATTCACAATTTCATATAGAACACTTTTTTTTCCTGTTCTCCTGGAATGTGTTGAAATTTTTTCTTTTTGGTGTTTAAGTTCAGAGTAAAAGAATATGAAAAATTAAGATAGAACCAGAGCGTGGAGGGCCTTGAATTCCAGGCTTCAATGAGAGTCAGATTCAATAGTATTTTCTTTCCTAGGGTCTGAGGTCATGACTGAAAATTTAAAGAGCCAAGAGGACTAATACACAGAATCAAATTCCACCTCACATTTGGCACAAACAAGTCTCCAATCTTTTCCAGTATGACACACCCATGAACTTGCTAGTTCAGCCTATATCTGTATCTTTCTCCATTGCTACCTTCCCTTAGTCCCTTATCCAACCCCTCCTCCACTCCAGCCAGGTAAATCTCCTGAACATTTCTAAAGGTATTAGGATTTGTTCCTGCCCCTACGTTCTCTTGCCCTTCTGCCTTTGCTGGAAATGCTCTCTCCCTCCTTTGGCCTCTACAAACTGTATCCTTTCATTAACACTGAGATCTAGTCTGAACTCCTCCAGAGCAACAAGAAGTTCATATTTCTATGGCTCTTCAAGGTTTACAGAGGGCTTTCCTCACAGCACCCCAGTGAGGTAAGTAAAATAATAATTATTGTCTCCATTTTACAGAGGAGGAAAAAAAGTTCACATGACTAGCACAAGGTCATGAAGCTCCTAAGAGGCAGAGTGAAGACCTGAACCTTATTCTCCTGATCCCAAGTCCAGGGCTCTGTCCAATGAACCCTATTGCCTCCGGTGGGTTGTTTTCTTGATCATCTACACAAACTCATTTAAAAATGTTTTACTGAAGCTTTTTGGTCTTTATATCACCACCATTTCCCATAATCTCCCCTCTTCTTTTTTTTTTTTGTGAGGCAATCAGGGTTAAGTGACTTGCCCAGGGTCACACAGCTAGAAAGTGTCAAGAGTCCGAGGCTGGATTTGAACTCAGGTCCTCCTGACTCCAGGGCCAGTGTTCTATCCACTGTACCACCTAGCTGCCCCCAAAATCTTCCTTTTCTCATAGAACCTTCCCTTAAAACAAAGACAAAAAAATGCTGGGAAAAACTGAATACAGTGACCATGTCAGACAGCAAAGCCAACATTTCACACCTGTCATCTCCCACTTTCAACTAAGAGAAGTGTGATCCATTACCTGTCTTCTGGATACAAATCCTGAACTACACTATGGTACAAATCTCGTACTATAATCTAGTCACTGGCTGTGTTTAAATTAGCACTTTGGTGGATGTTCTAGCTGTTTCCTTGTATTAAATTTCTTTCTCTTTCAACATGACTGTAAGCCCTATAAGGCAAGGCTTATGTTGTATATGAGACAAAGATAGAAAGTCAGCATGGAGTAGTGAATAAAAACACTGGTTTGGAGTCAAGTCATACTAGTTAGTGATGAACCTAGAATTTGAACCCTGGTCTTCATGACTACATGGGGCAGCCAGGTGGCTCAGTGGATAAAGAGCTGGGCCTGGAGTCAGGAAGACATGATTTCAAATCCAGCCTCAGACACTAGCTGATCACTTAACCCTGTTTGCCTCAGTTTCCTTATCTGTAAAATGAGTTGGAGAAGGAAATGGCAAACCACTCCAGTACCTTTGCCAAGAAAACCCCAAATGGGGTCAAAAAGAGTTGGATATGACTGAAATAACTGAACAACAACTTATAACCATAAATCTGGTGCTCTTCCCACTATCCCATGTTGTCTCAAGGAAAAAAGAGTCCACATACTCTAAAAAAGTGACAAACCCACCACTTCTACCATATATCCACTAATAACAGGGGATGGCAAAGAGGGCAGAACATAGGGCTTCCAAAGCCACCCTCTTCTTTGGGGTGGCACTGATAGCCTGGGCCTGGGGACAGAGAAAGAAGGCCAGTCATTATCACCACCACCACCATCAGATCATTCCCATTTATAGAGCATGTTAAGGCTAATCAAATTCTTTCCTCCAACCCTACCCTCACAGGCTGGATGGTGCAGCGATTATTACCTCCATGTTACACAGGAGTAAAGTGAGGCTTTGAGACGTTGCCTAATACAGAGGGAGAGAATGTGAAAGCCAGGAATTTTTAATCAGTACTTCAACACAGTGTCGGCACAAAGGAGGTACTTCATAAATGTTTGTCGATTGATCTGTTGATGGATTAAACCAGATCTGAACTCCTGACTGCAATATTTTTTCCACTCTACGATGTTGCTATTCCATCTCTTTCTTGTATAAGAACACACAGCCTCTGACTTGTGAAGGATTTACACATATGGAAACAATTAGAACATTACAATGAGAGAATCCAGGAAAGAGCAATAAGCAAGCCCTCTTGGTGGTCAGAGAAAAGGAGGATTAATGGTGACCGCAGTTAGCCGTCACAAATCAGAGCCCTTCCTGGTGCTGGTAAGCAGGTGGAGAGAAGGACAAACAAAGGGAGGAAAGGCCCAGAGAAGCTAGAAGTAGCCGCAGTGACAAAACAGACCTGCTAATGGTGGCATAGGCTGCCAGCCCCTAAGGAGCTGGTCCAGCCTTTTTCTCATCAGCCTGCCTCCCTCCCTCACATGTCACAGTTCCACACAAGCAGGCAAAGAGTAATCCCAGCTTCGTCTCTGGTCAGTTTCTAACACTGCGCTCCCTTCTCTCCCCAAGAACCTACCTTCCCTTTGAACAGCTGCTGAATTTCAGAGACATAGCTCTCTGAGTCTGTGGCAATGTAGATGGACTGGGCTTTGGCCGTCTTCACCCAGAGCCTCAGGGCACGTTTGATCTCCTTCAGGTCTGGCAGGCACATGGCCATGGTGAGAGGCGTGGCAGTGCTGCGGTTGTAGCCCACACACTGGGGTGAAGCCATGAAGTGGGAGCCCGCTGTTCCGTCCTTCAGCATATTACAGGCATTTTTCTAAAGGGGCAAGATGTGAGGAGGAACAGGAAGTAAGAGGAAAAGAAAGGATTAAAGAGATATCACTCTCCTTCTGATGGCCCCCTTCTCTATAAATTAAGAAAAATCCTCCAAAGAAAATACAAAATTCAAACTCAAAACTTTACATTCTGATGGGAAAAATTAACAACACAATAAAAAAATAATATACGTTCCTATGGGTTTCTTGCACTCTTCCCTGTGAAATTTCTGAATATATCCGGTCAGTTTTCATGCTCTCAAGGGGCAGCTGGATTTATCTCCGCTTATCCCTCACTGCCTCCTCTATACCAGCCTGCTTGGAGGTCTCTGTGATGCAGATATTCCTGGATTCTCCATGGCAGGGAGGGCAGTGGGGCACCAGCTCCGGCCAGGTCCTGCCAAGCTGGCATGAACTAGCACCAGGACCATGTATTCATCAGCTGTGGAACAGCCCCTTTAAGTGCAGAGAAGCTTATCCACAGAGGCCTGGCCCCAGCATTCAACTGCTTGATATAGCAAAGAGGAGTTATAACCTATATCTACATGGTACTGAGAGCATCCATGTGGGTAATATCTTGGCTCCTTGATACGGTAAAAAAGTATCCTACCCCAGTTTCTAAGAGCTTGTCTTTCACAAGATTCCACAAGCTAGCACAAGGGATGGAGGGTCAAGATTCCCATATTCTATTTTCCCCTCTGTCACTGGCCTGTTGCCTGATCTGCGGAGAATATCACATGCATGACCTCTCACTGCCTCAGTCTATCCATCTATAAAACAGGGAGAAAAATGGTGACTATTGGAGGTCTCTGTGACGCAGAATAGATCACAACTGAGCTTTTTTTTGTTGAAAGGGAATCCAGCAGGAGAACGTTAGCAAACCACAAACATCAAACACACTCATGATATTCCTACAATTGCACACACACCGGTAAGCTCAGGGCACTTAAAGATCCACAAGGTAAATAGAAAAGTTACCCAGTCAGAGCCAATTCGGAGATGAACCCCAATGTAAGGCCTGATGAGATGAGACTGGATCTGGGCCTCCCCCTTCTTTGTCATCTCGTCTGACCATACCATGTACTTCTGCAGGGCCTTGTGTTCCTCCAACACTGGAAATTGGGCTGGAGCTCCAGGCAGGGCAAGCACTGGGTGTTTATCTGGGGGAAACCTAGGAGGGAGAAGAGGGCAGGCTGAGTCACAGGCCCAGCCACCTCAAGGGAGAAGGATGAAGGGAAAAGACATGAGCCTAAAGCATACCCCCACAGGAAATGGATGAAGTTGCGCCATGACCTCGGAGTAGCTGAAAAGTCGCACCACATGCAACAAGCACAAGAGATTTTGAAATCCCAACGAACTGATAAGAGTGCTAGGTGCAGAGCTCAAAGCATTATTGTCTCTGACTTGGAATTTACAATCCTGTCTGCTTGTTTTGTAATTAAAAATTTACAGTGGAGTCTTCTAACCTTGTGAATGTCATGTTGGCTCCCAATCTGTGGTGCTGTAATTCACTCCTGGGTGTGGCGCCAGCCAGAGCTTTGGGCCTTATACTCAGCAAATAATGAACATACTTCAGCTGTACGGACAAGTGGCTGCCTTTAGAGAAGAAATAGGTTTTGCTCAGGGCCTCAATGAATGTGACTCTGTAGAACAAGCCTACGGCTCTTCTTCAGCTAAGACCACCTTTAACTTAGAAGGATTTAAAAATATATATATTCCTAAAAAGACCAGATTGGCTTATTTTCAAAATGAAGAAAGAACTATTTCTTTCTTCTATTGAATTATACTCATTTGCAGGTACCAGAAGCAGTAGGGATGTCAACCAGGATCAAGTATAAAAATCACCAATCCCATCCATCTCAGACACCTCTTCATTTAAGACAGTAATTTTGGAAATTCCACGTTCCTATCAGATCTGGAATATGTCACCCACTAGCTGGATCAGGCCCAGTGAATGAGGGGATAAAGTGACCAAGCAGGGAAGAGGCCCTTTGTCTTGTAAGAAATGTCAAAATGGTTCTTTCGTTGTCCAGGAATAAGTCATCTAGAATAGATTGATCAAGTTGTTTTTTTCCTGATAGGGATGAAAAGTTGCTTTTTGGGAAGCAAGCTTGAATAACAACCATGAGATCCACGGTCTTTCTTTACTTGTTCCAGCTCTGATCATCTTCTGGCTGAACCATTATGGTCATTTTATGAGTGTTTCTAGAACTTTTTATCACAGGCTACCAGGAACGGCATTCTCCCTTCTCTCCTCTAATGCCTGCAGTACCTCACCCTTAACAGCTACATTATTATTTTAAACAATAACAACGACTCACATTTAAATAGTGTTTTACAGTTTATAAAATTCTTTCCTTGAGACAACCCTATGAGGAAGGTAACCCAAGTATTATTTATCATCCATATTTTGTAGATGAGGAAACTGGTGCTCAGAGAAGAAGGAGAGGAGGAAGGAGGGAAGAGGAAGAGGAGGGGGAGGAGAAGGAAGAAAAGGAGGAAGAAGGAGAAAGAGGAGGAGAAGGAAGAAGAAGAGAAGGAAGAGGAAGTAGAGGTATAACTTACATTTCTATAGTACTTTTGAAGCCTGGAAAGGTGAAATAACATGCCCACAGTTCCACACCTAATACCAGGCAGAGACAGAACTCAAACCCAGTTCTCTTAATTCCTAGAGTTCTGTAATCTGCAATCTTTCAGACACCATGTCATCATTACAAACTCCTCCAACTTTACCCCAATAAACATATTTGCTGCCTTCTTTATCAAATTTCATGCCCACCACAGAACCTCAGAATGACTCCTCTCCCAAGAGGTCATTCTTTGTCCTGAAAAGGCATCTATCTATCTATCTGTGTCTATTTATCTACACATACATATAGATACACATATGTATATACATCTACATATGTGTGTACATACACACACATTACAGATTCCCCCAGTTAGAACTACTGGGGCCATGTGACTGAAGGCATCAAACCACAGCAAAAAAATTTTTGACTATGTAAATCCAAGGGGTAACTGTGGAGTAATGAGGCTACCTAAAAACAAATACACAATAGAACTCATACACCCCAAATGAGCTGTTTCTCTCAAAGCAAACCCCCTGGGAGTTCACACATTCTAACAAGGCTCATGATGTATCAGTGCTCACTTTGCAAATGGCCTTCAGGGCTTGTGGCAGGCCTCTTTGGAATCTCCTCAATGGAAGCAAACTTCCCATTTTTGGTGAGGCGGGCACTTGCTAGTGTTCTGGTAAATGTCCAAGAGCTATTTGGAGCTGAGTGCAGAGGAAGAGATAGCAATGACATACAGAAATTCAGTCTGGGTCAGAAATGAAGTGTGACTATAAAACAATAAGACAGATTTTTTTGGGGGGGAGGGCGGGGGCCAAATGGACCTGCCCAGGAAGCCTATTCCCAAAGAGGAGTTCAGCTTGTGAGCTGTGGTACTTTTGAAGAATGACAATGTATTTGTATCCTGGCTCCAATATTCACTAGTTGTGTCACCAAGAGCTAGACACAAACTCTCTTTGCCTCAGTTTGTTCACTTTCAAAATGGGAATAATGATACTTGCACAACCTAGCTCACAGACTTGGGAGGAAAATACTTTGTAAACTTTAAATAAATGTGACTGATTATTACAAGTTCTAATCTATTTATTTATTTATTTATTTATTTAACTTTCTTTCTTTCTTTCTTTCTATTTTTAGGCAAATGGGGATAAGTGACTTGCCCAGAGTCACACAGCTAGTAAGTGTTAAGTGTCTGAGGCTGCATTTGAACTCAGGTGCCACCTAGCTGCTCCCTCTATTTATTAAAAAAGAAACAAAAACCAGTCTCTATACCTCAGTCCCTAGAGGAGACATGATCTCACTGATATGGGCACTCTCAACACTATCTACCTCTGCCCCTCTGATCCGTAGTAGATGGTGCTCATAACGTGCGGCAGTAGAGACCGGCTTTCTCATGATGAATCTCTCTCTCGTGATGGCTCAGATCACAGACACACAGCCAAGTGCTGGGCCCATCCTCGGTCTTTCCAGCTTCACTGGTGAAGACTTTGGGAACTCAACCCTCTCACTCCATCTTCATACCGTAATGAAGCAGCAGCAGATTTGATTTGACTTTCCCACCTTTCATTAATTAATTTATTTTTGGTTTTCAACAATCACTTCCATAAGCTTTTGAGTTTTAAATTTTCTCCCTCTCTGGAGTTCCCTGCCTCCCTCCCCAAGACAGAGTGCAACCTGATATAGACTCTACATATACATTCCTATTAACAGGGGCTTTTAGTGAGACATCTCTTCACTTAACACCAATAAAAAGTAGTTTTGATAGTCACACATCTCTCTGCCTCAGCTTGTATTATGTTGGAAACACTACTCTGTCCGAATGAATCAAGGGCATTAGTTTAAAAACAGAGTTTAGTGGTTTAAGAACTATGCTTCTATCTGCCCCACATGATGCCCCTTCTTTCTGCCTCTCCCAAACCTTCCTATCCTTCACAGCCCAGAACCAGACCAATTTTCTCCATGGAGACCATTCTAGGCCTCTTGATCCTTCCTTTCTCTGCCTCCTGCAACATTTATTATCTTTACCACCATGGGGCATTTAGCTCTGACCACTTTGGATTGCTTAAGTTTTCTCTCCCTAACTCAAATATAAAGTTCTTAAAATCTGGGACCATGAAGTCTTCTGCTCTTCTATATTTCTCCCAGTACCTAGTGTCTAACATATTGTAAACAAGCATTTGATAAATGTGTCTGTCCACTTAACCTACTTTTTTCTAAACAATGCTATATGTCTAAGGGCAATTATTAATTATCCTGTATCTGATGATTACCAGGATGACATCATTTTCTTAACTGAGGCTGGAATTTTTTTTCTCACATAGAAGCAGCTTCCAATTTTAACTTCTGAAGAGGAAGATTAACTGGCAAGTAATTCTCATGCCTTGACCAGGAAACCCAGGTTCATGTGATCATAAAATGTTCATTTTATGATAGTTTTTATCAGGGGATAAACTATTGCTCAACCCCACAGTAGGTCAATGTCCCACGGTGTGAGGCTGTGAAATGAGAACAGATCAGACAGCAGATACTCTCTGGATACTGGCCCTTTGCTGTGGGTTATGCCTTGGTCTCTAAGCCTCACAGGTTCAACAGATGTACTGGCTACCCCTTCGATTCCAAGTAATTGTGTGTTATAGGGTGGAATCGGGAGGCAGAATGGGGCTCCGGCCAGTTACTGACCTCCACTGCTAACACCTGATTGCCCGAACCCCTTTCCACTCCCACCCCCCCCACTCTGAGTACCTTTGGATCCAGTGGTCCTTGTAGGAAGAGCTGAAGGAGATGCCACCAAAAAGTTCTGATCTATTAAAATTGACATTGAACTGATCCCAGAATGGACCAAAGGGGTTCCCTTCCTGCAAAACAACATATTCAGTCAGTTGCTTGGATGGGCAGGAGCTAGGTACTAAGTGGACAAATGGAGCTGGGCTTTGAAAAGACAAAAAGAACAGACTAGGGGTGGGTTCTGTGTGGAGATGACAAGAGATCTAATTCCAGGTGACAACGAATGTCTGAATGGCCTGAACAAAGGTAAGTGAATACAAAGCATACATAAAGTCATACAAAATAATGCCAGTGCTAATAGTTGGGGCCTAGGGGGGAGAAGGGGATCAGGAAAGACCTCATGTAGGAGGTGGTACCTCATCTGTACTTTCAAGGAATGTATTCCAGACATAAGGAGGGAGGAATCTGGGCAAAGGCATGGGAGTAGGACTGGAAACACTGTGTATGGGGATTGTGGGTCAGCGTGATTGAAATGGGAAGTGTATAAAGTCTAAATTAATTATTAAGGTTCTGAAGGGCATCACATACTGCTCACCCCTATAGCTTCATAATTTCCAAAAAGCAATACAAATTGATCTGCCTAAACAAACATTTTATCGAGTATTTACTGTAAGGAATTAGATTGAATTTGAGCCCTGGACTCGAATGACTTCTAACCATTACAGTAATTTGCAGTTAACACAATCACAAAATGTTGGAACTGGAAGGGACCCTTATGGATCGTTTAATTCAACTCACAAGTAGGACCAAAGGACCAGGTGTGACATCTAAAGAGGGGTGACATGTAAAGTCATGCCATGAATTACTGGTAGAAGTAAGCTTGGGACCTGGATTTCCTGACCACTTGTCTGGTACTCTTCCCACCATATTTCATATGGCACATTGCTAGGTGGTATTTTTAAGGAACCATAGGGGAACTCAACAGAAGGAGTACTCCTTGCAGCTACATTTGGCCTGAGGAAAAGATGCAGGAAGAAAGAGCGCACAAAAGAAATATATAAGTAGAAAGTACAGTAGGTTCCAGGTATGGACAAATGGAGTGAAGGCCAAGGCATCCAAGGACCCACCTTCATGGGGCAGGTCTTCTTGTCAGCACTCCGCTGGGCTGCAACATCAAAGCAGTAGGCCACTCGATTCTCAGGGGGCCAGTGGATTGGAGCCAACTTCTCCATGAACTTTTCCAAGCTGATGACCCGATGATATTTCTTGAGTGGCTCTAACTTGAAGTATGTCTCATAGGACACATGCAGCTATAAGAATGGAAGAGGGACAGAAAGATAGTAGGAAAGAGAAGTGGAATAAAGAAAGAGAAGGGAGAAAAGAGAGAAAATGTAAAAGAGAAAAGAGAAGTAACAAAGCAAGAATGGAGAAGAATTGGGGAGAGGGAAAATAAGGGGAAAAAATGAAGAGAAGAGAAAGGAATGATTTAGGGGTTACTTTAACTATTGTCTTGATAAGGAGGAGCCATTTTATGCCCTCCTTTACCCTTGGGTAGATGCCATCTCTTAGAGGAAAAGGAAAACCAGCCATTGCTACGTCTGTGTCTATAGGCATTGCCAGCCTATGTCTCGGTGAACTCATTGAAAATATACTGCTAGTGAGCCAGGAGCCATGCGTTTGAATTTAATGTAAGCTGGCTAACTTCTGCCTTGGCTCACAGTCACAGATTAAACTCCAAATACCATTTCACCTTTGCAGCGTATGTCACAAATAAGCCGAGATGAGAATGAGGATGGTTCAGTGCAACCTATTCATACTATAGGGCAAACAGATCCAATCACACTTTCTGAAGACAGAATAGGATACCAGGAAAAAGAATATGTGCTTGTAATCCCTGAGGTGGACCCAGTAAAAAAGCCACAGTTTATTGAGAGTATCCCATGGACCCACTGTGGAATTTGTAAATTCTCTCAAAATCCTGAATGGCAGGGTTAAGGCTGAGGCAAAACCTAGGACTCACATTGGTGTATGGAGGCTTGTGATGCTGGTATTCAATCCATGGTGGGACAGCCAGGGTTCGGTTCAGTAGCTTTGCAAATGCCAAGGAGCCCAAGAAGTGATCTGCCTGGTTCCCAAACCGCCCTGGAAACATGAATAAGCCAGGTTGAGAGGGAGCCATGAGGTACTGACAGAAACAGTTCAGCTATGTACAGAATAAGTATTTAATGTTTGTGGAATAGAAGTGAGCTAAAAAATTATAAGAACCAGAAGGAACCTGAAAAGAGTATTTCTGACTCCCTTAATTTACAAACTGAGGCCCAGAGAAATGAGCAATGTCCTCTTGTACAAAGTCACAATAATAAGTAGCAAAGCCAGGATTTGAATTCAGATCTTTTGACTCCAAATCTAGTTTTCGTTCCATCAGGATGGTGGCAAGTTGTTTCAGTTGGCAAGAGTTCTTATCTCTAGGGGGATGAAGGGGAGAAAACAAGAAAATGTTTAATTAAGAAAATTATAACTCCTTCCTGGCTACCTGTCCCTAGCTTTGAAAACCCAGAGTTCTAGTTGGAGGTCTGCCACTGACCCACTGAGTGATCTTAGTCAAGTCATTTCCTCTCTGGGTCTCAGTTTTCCCATCTGCAAAATGGAGGGACAGGAGTTCAAGTCCCTTCCAACTTAAAGATTCTAGCAGTCTACGTTTCCTGGCCATTCCTCTGGAAAAGAGGCCAAGGGCCCAGAAAGATCCCTGGTCTATTTTCTGGGGAGGAGGGGGCTGGGGCTCCGCAGAGAAGGAACGCCTAGCTGATGCAAAGGAGCAGGCAGGATAGCATAACTTCAATCATCTCCAACATCTGCATGGCTGGGGCAGGGCCTTTAGACGAACACTCCCTGGGTGGCCAAACAGGGCTTACAGGGCGGTCTGGGGGAACAGTTCGGGGAGGCTATCTGGGAACACCGGTCAGGTTCCCCCAGGGAGCTGAAATGGACCAACTGGGCCGGAACTGGCGGGTCCTCCCCCCGCCCCTTCCCAGGACCAGAGTGGACAGGTCGGGGGCCACAGGGCAGGTTCCTCCTGAGGCCACAGTGGACTGGTCCAGTCCCTGGGCAGACTCAACCTGGATCTGAAGGAGAACAAGCTGGTGGGCGCTTAAGGGGTCACAGCGGACAGGTCCGAGCCCCCAGAGAGGCTCATCCCCTTCCCACCCCGCAGAGTGAATTGGTCCGGAGCCAGGCTCTTGGGGACTCGTGCAGGATCGCCAGGAAGAGCCCAGCAGGGGGCGCCCGGCTCAGGAGGCCTTACCCATGCAGGGACAGTAGAGCAGGTAGCCAGCGGGGTCCCAGGCATGGGCAAGGGCCCGCTCGGGCAGCAGGAGCCCGAGCAGGGGTAGGATGAGCGCCCACGCTGCGGGGACCATATCTGTTCACGGCTGTAGGCTACCGGCCCGCCCGTCGCGCTCCCACCAGGCTTCGCGCGCCGCCCCGCCCGCGCCCTTCTATCCATCGGACGCGACCATAGAGAACCCGCGGCACCGCCCCCGCTCCTCCCCCCCTCCCCTCAGCGGCCCGAGCGCCCGCTCGCGCGGCTCCCAGAATGCACCGCACAATGGCCCGACCGCCGCCACTACCGGGGCCTGACCGGGCCTGGCGGAGCCGGAGCGCGGCCCGCCCCGGAGCGCGGGGGCCCCGAACGCGGTGAGTGAGGAGCGTGAGCAGGAGGAGCGAGGCCGGAGAGCTCCCCCGGGGGGCGCTGGGGCCGGGGCTGAGTGGGTAGAGCCGGCTAACGACCGAGCTTCGTCCCCGCCCCCGCCCCGTTCCGCGCGCCCCACAGGGAGGGAGAGGCCCGGATAATCCGAGCCCGGGGCGGGGGGAAGAGGAAGGAGGGGTAGTCCCGGATAATTCCGCTGCGCGGGAGAGGGAAGCGAAGGCCCGGCCCCTTAGACCCCCGAAGAAGGGGAGCGAGGACCGGAAAGCTCCCGCCCCTCTTATTCTCCCCTCCCGACCCCCCCCCCGCCCAGACCCAGATAAACGGGATCCCGGACCCCTGGAGGTCTGCCCCGCAACCCCTCTGGCTGTGACGCCGCGCCCCTCCTAGCACCTCACCTTCTCCTTCGTGGGGGGCAGTGGGGGGGTTCTCTGCGTTCTCGACCCCCCCCACGTGATCCTGGCCCGCCAGCCCGCAGGTGCAGCCGCCCCCCCCTTTGGTCTCGCTGTCTGTCACTGTGAGTGCTTCCTCCACCCGGGCAGGCCGAGCCCTGCGATCTCGTTGGGGCCCCGGCCCCCCACCACACGCACAAACATGCAGCAGGCCCCACGGGTGGGCTGGGAAATTGAGCACCGTAGGGAGCGAAACTACTTGCCCAAGGTCACGGGGGGAGCAGGGATCCGAACCGGCTGCTCCCTTCCCGAGTTAACAGTTTATTACTCAGCCTTTGCTGGAGATACCTTAGCCCCTGCCTTCCACAAACAGATGTCCGAGGGACCTGCAGAAAGCATATCCGGGCCTTGCTAATCCTGTTTGGTGCCTCCTGGAATGGTGCAAGCCGCTGAGGCTCCTTCGCGCCTCTTCTCCCACCCCCACCCCCGCCCCCATGTAATTCTCGGCAGAGTCTAAAGAGCCTAACGTAGCTATTTCCATTTCCCTTCCTGCTCCTGTATTTTCTTCTCCGGGAATGTATCATGAGGATTTGTTTCTAGTGCTGTGGGTCAGGTCCTGGTTGCTCTCTGTCTATTTATAATGTCTTGGTTGCTATTTTGAGCTCAGAGGAGGGGAAGGCGCCGGTCCACCCGCTTTGCACGTTTGCCCTTGGTGATGCTTTCAGTCAGCAGGTGGTGGGGCCAGTTCCTCAGATCCCTGGGTCCTGCAGAAGAGGGATAAGAGAGTCTCATGCTATTTTGGGGTAGTCATTGAAGTGGAGACTCTAATCCTCTGTGGGTCTTCGATTTGGTAAGAACTCACATGGAGGTTAACCCTTTCTTTGCTGCAAAGAAATCACTGGGAACTGCCTTCTTTGGGCAAAAGGCGAGAGTAGAGTGTAATACGTAGAACAAAGGCATAATAGTGCAGAAAAGTTTTCATAAAAATTATGTAGTGCCAGAAAAACTCTAATTTCATCTGAGTGGAATTAGTAGCCTTTTGAAATTAAAGCATTGGCTGGACCTAATTGCCTCTGATTTAGACTTCCAAAAGGAGTATACATTTTTGAACTGCACATATGTTGATACAGATGTTTCAGAATAATTTTTCCTAACCAGAGGAAAAATATTACAGAAATAGTTCCCATTTGTGATGGCTCCTGTGTCCTGTAATTTGAACCTAGTCTTCTTGGGGGTATGCTTTGGCTCTTTTGGTAGCCAGTAGGTGCTTCTTGGAGGAGCTTATGGGATTTTGGAGGAAGCCAGTTAGGAGGAGGAGGAGTGGCTGCAGAGGATATCCTGAAGGAAAAGGAGTAGTAGCTGGCAATTAATTGTGAGAAGCAAAAAAAGGGGGGGTGGGCAGGGAGAATAAGAATGTGGGAGGGGTTGTGAAGGTAACAAAATTGGCTTTGGAACCTGAGGGGAAGAGATACATTTTTTAGTGCCTCATTGCCAAGAAGTGGGTAAAATTTAGACATCAAAGGAGGGCCTTCCCCATCCATTTCCCCTTCCTCTCCTTCCCTCCCCCCAGCCAGCCCCATCAAACACCAAAAGGACTCTGTGGAAAACGTTGGAGAACCACACCATGGGGAACCAGCTTACTAAGATGTCTTGTCAGCTGGGAGGGAAGGATTGTGTTTGTTTTATGGGAACAGGTTCTGTCGGCTTCTCTGGTTGTTAAGGTCAAAGCACAAGACCAGAAGAGCAGCCTGGAGAGAATGGCAGAATTCTTCTGAAGCTTTACTGAGGAAGGGGAAACCTGAAGGAGTAGGGGTTCTGAATAGCACAGAGATCTTCCCAGGTCGGAGAAAGTAAGAGACAAAGACGGAAAAAAGGATATGTCCTCCAAAGGGATGACCAAGTTACACCTGTTTCGTAAATAACCAGCGTGTGACTCTAGGTGTAAAGTAATTCCACAGCCACTTTGAACAGTTTAGTATAGAGCAGGATAAGGGTGTTGGTTCTTTTTTCTTTGAAAGCTACATTCCCATTAAGTGCACAAGCAAAGAGAACGAAACCATGTGCTTTTTGTATGGACAGAGCCCTTGTGAGCTCTTCTGGGCCCCCGCTGGCCTCTTCCTAGAAGCCCATTACTCACTCTTTCAGTAAAAGTGTATTGAGCTGCTTGCTGCTACTGTTTCTGCTTGTTCAGGAGAACTGATGAGGTGGATGTGTGGGAGGTGGGGGACGGACTGTTCTCTTTCTGAGTTTGAGTGGAGTTTCCAGAACCAGTCCCCTTTTTCATATCATTGAAACCCAAGTGACTAGGACTCACTTCTCTCTGCTTTTCATCTTCACCTAGACAGCAGGCAGCAGTTTGGTTTTAAAGGGTAACTTCCAGAACTGGGGATCTGTCTCTTTTTACTATGCCATGGGCTCTGGTAATCACTGGTAGTATAAACAGGTAATTCCACCCACCCATCCTCATGGGGGAGGGGAGTAGCACAGCATGAGAACTCGACATTAAAGAAACTTGAGGAGTGTTGTGTGGCAAACAAATACAACAGGATCATCCAAGGGCTAAAGTGGGACTGGTTTTTTAGTGGGCCATCCTCAACATGTGACTAGTGTAAAATGCTGCCACCTTTGTGCAGATCTTTCTAGACAGATCTGTACTTCTGATGGGAAAATACTTGTATTATGTTTGGCTATTTATTGAACAAGAGGAATGGTCTCTAAATAGGGGAAGCTGATCAATTTTGCAGTTAATAGCTCCTGTTTCTATTGTATTTTACATTTTACAAAATCTTTACAGCAATCCCATGAAGTAAGCAAGTATCTGTTGTTTTTTAAATCCATTTTTCAGATGAAGAAACTGAGGCTCAGAGAGGTAAAGCAATTTGCTCATGAGTCTTATGACTTACAGTTGGTAGAGCTGGGGCTTGAACTTAGATCTTTGACTCCAAGTCTAATGTTCTTTCTTTATACGATATGTTCATTAATGATGGTGGAAGCTGGCTGTCAACCTGGTCTATTTCTCTAGGCTTCCAGGAAATGGTTCTTGTGAACAGCAGGTGCAGGCATGAGGAGCAGGCATGCAGTGGCTTATCATGCCCTGGTCCTTATAAGCAACCCCTTCTCCTTTCTAACATAGATCTATAACCACATATTCTGTCTGGAGAAGTGCCTGACTGATGAAATGCCATGCTTGCCAGGGTCAGCTTGATCTGAGAGGGAAATCTCCCTCTGTTTACAAGAGATTGGCAACATAAAGTCTATATATCGAAGGTAGTGAACATAATTATTTTTTTTTAATTTTATTAATTCATTTTGATTTATCAACAATCCCTTCCATATGCTTTTGAGTTGAAAATTTTTCTCCCCCTTCTTCTCCCCCACCCTTTCCAAGACAGCGCACAATCTGATATGGGCTTTACATTTACATACCCATTATACATATTTTCCCGTTACTGAAGTTGTAAGTAAAAATTAAAACCAATAGGAGGAACCATCAGAAAGATGAAACAAAACTCAACAGAAGGTAAAAATAAGTGATAGCGATTCGATTTCCATAGTTCTTTCTTTGGATGTGGACAGCTTTTTCCATCCTGAGGCCTCTGGAGATGTCTTAGATCCTTGTAATGCTGAGAAGGGTTCAGTTTAACAATCTTAGTCATTGCATAACATGGCTGTTACTGTGTGTAAAGTCCTCTTGGTTCTGCTCACTTCACTCAGCATCAGACCATATAAGTCTTTCCAGGTTTTTCTGAAGTCATCCTGTTCATCATTTCTTATAGCACAATAGTATTCTATTACATTCATATACCACAACTTGCTCAGCCATTCCCCAATTGATGGGCATCCTCTCAATTTCCAATTCTTTGCCACCACAAAAAGAGCTGCTATGAATATTTTTGTAGATGTGGGTCCTTTTCCCATTTGTTTGATCTCTTTGGGATATAGCCCTAGAAGTGCTATTGCTGGGTCAAAGGGTATGCACATTTTTGTAGCCCTTTGGGCATAGTTCCAAATGAACATAATTATTTTCAATAGCACATTAGGTGGTGGCTGCTATACTGCACTCTTTCCCCCTACTGCTTTTAAGATTGAACATAGTAATACATCTGTAGAGCACAACCCTTCACCCTTAGTTGGTAGCCTGGAGATAATTACACATATAACCCTTTCTGCTTCCGTCCATACAGAACCTTGGCGTTCAGAACCTTCATCTCTTAAAAAAAATTATTGGTGTCTTTTATTCTTATATCACCTTCATTTCTGAATATATCCTGAGTGAACTGAATATATCCTCAGTTTTCTGTAACCAAAAAAAATTTTTTTAAAGAGTAGTTCAGTAAAACCAACCAACGTATCAACCAAGTTTGACACAATGTATGCG